CATTCAGTGATTTTGTCAGCCTGGTTGGGTTCTGCCAAAAGTCCAGTATCGGCCTGATCGTGCGTAAGGTGGTGATGTCGACACCTGAGTAGAGTATCTTCCAGCTGCATAAATTCATTAGTCCAGAGCCTTGGTGCATCGTTGACGAGAGTTCAGTCATGTCGATTACCTTGCAGCCTCATTAACTAGGTCTTGCTTCTTCCTTCTGCTTGAGTATATATTCCAATTTCCGACTGTAATCTCCTACTCTCGGTATCGTTTCCGTGGAGCCTTATCTGACGTGCTGTTATTTCATGCGCTGTTTGCCTCGTCTGTTCAGAACGGGTAGCGGCTTCGTTGCGGACGTGTTTTCGTCGTATTCTTGTCGTTTTGGGCAGCCATGGCGTTGCTGCTACTCCTGAAGTTACTAGACGGCGAGAAGGAGTTGTGATTGCCGACTTTTCGCAGTCTGTGTAGGTTTCGCTAAAGCCTTTGGGTCCCTTGGTAATTCGGGTGATAACGAGCCATTATATCGTTGGAACCATAAGATACAGGTCGCTGAGTTTTACGGAAGACTTTGCCACGGTCCACTACCCTGTTTCTGATCGGAACTTATGGCCATCATAAGCACAATGGCTACTCTTTCGTGTAACTTCGTTCTTCTGATTCTCGTCTCGATGATCTCGGTCTGTACTGCTTCTCCTTTGGAGACCCTTGGTCCTAGTTTCCAGTACTTTTAATTCTGAGTTTTATTCTTCGTATTCCGATGTTTATCACCAGTTTCCGTATCTCGTCGCGCTGCTTTTTCTGTTTCTCGTCAGTTTTTTCTTCATTTTTTCTTAGTTTCATTCTCTTTCCTCTACTCTTTCTTTATTCCTAAGTTTTATTCCCTTTATTCTGTTCTTCTTTTCCGTTTTTCACTCTCTCTGTTTCTTTCTTCATGTCATATCATTTTTGGTGTTTTTACCTTCGCGGCCTTTATTTGAGTGACTCTCTTAGGGCATTTCATTAAATTCATTGCGTCTGATGTCGGCGATATGGAAACGAGGGATCATCATGATGGGAGGCGACCCCTGTCTTGTACATGAAAGTATCTTTTAATGGTATTAACGGATGACTTTTACCAAATTTAAAAGTACTTGTGCATTTTCTGGGACCAGAGTCTGTAGACCAAGTTCGCAAATGTCGTTTCAAAACGTATCCACTAAAAGTCGCATACAGAAATCGGACAAATGTCATTGGACTGTAGGCAGTATACATGTGCTACAGTACTGTAATTTAGGTTGCTAAGCTCAGTGAAGTTAATCAATAGCGCTAGTGTTGGATATGTTCTAGTAATTTGTTCGTTTAGCGTATTCCATACCCACGATAGGCAGTTATTTTCTAGTTCCACAGTAGTGAATAGGTTGCTTCCGGAAATATGTTCGTTTTCAAGGGTTCTAATCAATTGTGACCATGTAAGTGTCTGTTCTTCAGGCAGTCCAAAGTACATGTTCAGTCAGGTTGCGATGTAACCGTTTCAGTGAAAACGCTACCCGTTCAAAGCGAAATGTGGAAAGGGCGGAGTAAGGTTCATGAATGATTTCAGGAGGTCACCGAAGCTGAACTAACATCCCTTTTCACCTGAAAAAAATTTCATGCCTGAAAAGCACCTTGTGTTAATTGAGGATGTACGGTGCTATCTGATACATAAACTTGACATTGTGTGTGATAGTAGCACTAGTTCTAACGTTATCGACCTCGCCACTGAATGCAAACTCCAGGAGCAGATCCATTCATGTCTGCACGAGCAGGGGTGGCGATGCTCTTTTAATTCCCGGCGGAGAGACTGTATCATTGAATAGTTTATCATTTTGAGTAAATTGAAGGCCATCCTGAAATACCTAGCCGACACCGGAATTTATTCTTATGGTAAATTTCGGCATACCTGTTGGAACCGAAAAAAAGCGGCGAAAATGCGTGATAACACAGAACGACGACTCCCTTAACAAGCGCGAATAGCGTCAGAGTATTGGACTTGTGTTTTATTCGGATGATCCAGTAAAACGGGAGGAGGCGTCTGCGCCATCGACAGATAACCACATATTCGTTGTTCGCATACTATATACTGCTCTTTTTGAAACTGGACAACTCGCCAGTGGCAAAAAAATTTGTCTACCGAATAGAAAATGGAAGAATAAAACGGGGAACTTTTTTGGACGATGTGTGAACGGTTCTGAACAAGTTTCCTATATCGAAGCGGAGTAAAAACTTCCGAACACTCGTAACTGCTTCGATCTCATCGTTTTTTGTCTAGAGAGGTTTGCTATGTCCATACTTGATAAGAAGAGAAGTGCTTTCTGTAAAACGCGAGCCTGATATGCCCGCAGAGCACAGTAATATTTACCTTGCGAACAAAGCTCGTCTTTGATTAAATCCCGTGTCTTGCAGTGGAAATTTAAAGGGGAACACGGCACCGATTTTACATTAAATTTCTTAAATGATTTAAACAATAAATAGAGATGACGCTTTGGTGGTGACAGCACTGGATACTAAGGCTGTCACATTAGTCAAGACGAATTGCAGTCTCGAGAAGCACTTTCATTAGGCAGTATCAGGGCATTTGCTGTACCTCTCACCCATTCTGGCAAGACCATACTAGAATCACATGTACTCCATTTGATAACGACTTACCAGCCATTTCTCAACTTCTTCGCAACATGGGATGAATTACTTGCTGAAGGAAGTTGGTGGGTAAGAAATTTTTTTCTTTTTCGGAATTCGATCTCGACACTTCCGGAGTTTCAGATCGGTCTTCCACTAGTCTGTTAACTCATCCCATATAGAGGAACAATTTTCACTGATTATTTAAATAATCTAAAATGGATTGAGAAATAAGCAACCGCTGTCCTGTACGAGCAAGTTCTGCAATATCCCGCATTTCTTGTGGTAAATCACGCATCAAATGTGTTAGCTTGTCCCGTTTGGATGGCGATATTTCCGGCATCAGGCTGGTGGCTTGCACATTACGGAGTGACATATGGTGTTGTGATTAACTATTCAGAAGTATATTAGTTCAAAACAAGGACCATTAAGAAATTAAACCCAATGACGATGCAGTTTAGTACTAGAGACTGCCAAGATGCAATAGACCTGTTGGTATAGACGTAGAGGTCTCGTCTATACGTTCATTCGATAAATCTCTAGGTCGAGGTCTCGACACCTGGTCTTGTTTGAAAATTCTGTCACGGCTATGAAAGCTGCAGCGAAAGAAAAATGGGAATGTTAGGGAGGAAAACTGAACTCTGACTGCCGAACTGCCCCTCGACAAAGCTAATATTTTGGCAGACTATCCATCGATTGCATGGGAGGTCAGTCAGTGAAAGAGCTGTGAAAACGATAGATGCAGTGCTTTTAATCAGCGAAGTCATGCTTCAGGGATGAAAGGGATTTTCTCAAGTTACCTAAATCCCGTCTGAAAAGTGCTTTTAGGAATGGACACATAGTCCCATCGTTATTACCAGTCTAACAGCAGTGATTTATGCGCGAAAAGTAGCCAGATTTCTGGAAAGGACGCCAAAATCCAAGTTGAATATAGTCTTTAGCTCCCCAATTACCAGATTATTGCTCCACCCTGTTGCTGTTTTGTTTCAGGGCGGAGGAGCTGAAGCAATAGGAAATCCAGTGATTAGAAAACTTAAGCGCTACTGTAACACTCCGACTTACGAACTCATGTTTTTGATTGTTTTGCGAAATCTGACCTGAGATACAAGCCTTGAACAGGGATAACTTCCTCTGACCGAAAGCGACGTACAGTTCGCAAGAAGTTGCGGAAGAATTGCTAGAAAAGCAGTGACAGACCTAAATGTATGCTCCTGTGTTGACAAAAGACGATCAAATATTGCAGCATTTAGCAAGATATCCGTGCTGAGTTGCTCGCAGATTACTTTGAATAGAGATGCCGAGAAATGTTAGGGAGTGTAGTGGCAGCAGTTCTGGATGATCAGTGTAACTGTTGTTCCGGCGAAACTACGATGGCCCAGATCTTCACTGCCTGCGGATTTTGAAAAAATGCTTTTAGGAAAA